GAAACCTAAAACTGTAGAAAAATCTTTTTTTCTATTCCATAAGTCTCTTTAAAATCTAGTCCAGCTTTCAAAATTCACTAGTTTAAATTTCAAGATTATTTGGTATTCCAGTCTTTGGGATGTAAAAGGAGAAAAAAGCAGATCTTTAGGAAGAAAGTACTTTTTAACAGAAATAACAAAAAAGCCATAAAAGTTACTGCTAAATGATGAATTTCTCCTTGTAAATAACAGAGCAGATATTGTATATCAGAAACGAAACTCTGCATCTTTTAACAGACAGAATATTCTGTAACAATTGCAGCAATCTAAATTTTAATTAAAATAGTAACTGGCTATATGGTAGAGCTCAGGAGTATCTACAGGAGACTTTAGATTTTTCATTTGAATGTCACTCTTAAGAGTGGATGTTACTTTACCAGCTCTGCCACAGTCAGGGAAGAACAAATACCTTGGTAAGACTTAACCAAACCAAACATACAGCTAAGCTACAAAGGCACCTTGCAATCAACCTCTCTTTGCAGACGTGCTGGGAGAATTAAACAGTTAACATTTATGAAGTGTTTACAGATTTGCAGATGGAAAGCACCATGTAATTACCAAGCACTATTACAAGTTAGAAATGACAGTGAAAATATAGCCTTATCTGATCACAGCAGCATTGTGCTACTATTTAAAAACTTAGAAAAGGCACACAGATTTTTAGATTAGCTCAGTCTATTGCAGCAGTTGCGGTGGGGGGCATAAAAAGAGTAAAGAGGAAGAAGGAGCCCCTGTCAATAATCAATTTTAGGGTCCTCAGGAGAAGAGAGATGGATATTCCTAATTTTTTATTAAAGAAAATTCTTTGTGCTCTTTAGGTTTCTTGCCACTTAAATTTTTAAATATGCATCCTTTTTCATTAATTTCCACAACACTTTCCTGTCCCTGTCCAAACCCCCAAATGATGCTTCTATGATGAACCATGTCTGAAACACTGGATTTATTTATTGGACTGAAGGGGCTATCCAAGCACAATGGCTTTACCATCATTGTCACAATCTCTGGGCAAAAAACAGTAGGGCCAAGGAAAATATTGGTACAGAGCAATGCTTTATAGGGTCCACCTGGTACTAACCCTCCTAAAACCAGGGTATTTCAAGAACCCTCAGACTAGAAAAGGGGTAGACTGGTACTCTACTTCGTCCATCATCCTCAGGTCAGACTACTCCTAGGGGCTATTTTCCTGGGAGTACAGGTAGGAAGCTGCTTAAGGAATTGACAGCACTTCTGCGCCCTCAGAACTTTTAAGGCAGGGAGTTTGAAAGACACAGTGGTCATGAGACACTTGCAACCTCTGCCAAGGGGTCCAACAACAGAATAGGTCTCTCAGACTCCA